GCCCCCGCGCCCGTCTCACGAGACCCGGGCTGGGCGCTCCGGCCGGTCACGTGAGCGGCGCCCGGCGCCCCGCCCCACCCCGCCCCGCCCGTCAGGTGACTGGAGGCCGTTACCATAGAGGCGGGAAGCTAGAGCGACCGCAGTGACCTGGCGGGGGAAGGGCGCGCGAAGCTGCGGCGGCCATTTTGCATGTGGGCACCGTTGCTCCGCCGCCAGGGGATTCCCTCGGGGACCCTCCGCGGACTGGGCTGAGACCGAGGGTCCCTCCGACACCCACATCCACATCCATACCCACACCCACGCCGCGGACAGGCAGGGCGGAATCATACAGTAGCGGTAGCGGGCGGTATAGAACCATGAGAATGGCAGCAGCGCATGTTCTCACATCGCCTCCCATATGGTCTAGCGGTTAGGATTCCTGGTTTTCACCCAGGCGGCCCGGGTTCGACTCCCGGTATGGGAAGTTACACTTTTTTTCTCCCCCAGGTTGCCTGCCCGTCGCCGCGCCCGGCACCGGGATAGGTGCGTCCCCTGCGCGCGGCTGTGGCTCGGGCACCGGCCTGGCCGGCAGGATCCGCGCTGGCCCTTGCCCGGGGCAGACTCACGGCTGCCGCCATCCAAGCCGCCGGGGTGCGGGATTGCGCGGTCTGACGCGAGCCCGCACCCAGCACATCAGCCCCCGCTAAGCTGCTGGTCTCTTTGCAGCCAAATTCCCTGAAACACAGGGCTGGCGGTGTCTGCAGGGACCCGGGTTTCCGTTCACCGCAGAAAAGCGCTGGAGGCAGCAGGTGTCGCCTCGCGGGCGAGGATGCGGCTCGGGCTGCCACCCTGCTGTCCTGTCCCCGGGAGCCTTGCGTGGCCACACCGCCATAGCGAGGCGTGCAGTTGCGCCCCTCGCTGGCGCTGCGTGGGCAGGGGATGCCTCGCCACGGGGGGCACCAGTGCAAGGCTGCGGGGGCAGGCGAGCCGGGTGGGGAGCCCCGAGCCCACAGCGGGATGCCCGCATCCGCCTTGTCCCCATCCCCAGGGCTCTGCTCAGCTCCGCTTCGGCCATGCATGGGAGAGGGCAGGGCAGAGGGCGGTGGGCATGTGTGCTGGGCACGGCCCTCCAAACGCGGCCCCGCCCGTGTGGAACAGGGGAAGAATCACTTCCCTCGATCTGCTGGCAACGCTCCTTCTAATGCAGCCCAGTGTGCTGTTAGCCTTCTTGGCCACAAGGGCACACTGCTGACTCAAATCCATCTTATTGTCCACTGGAAGCCCCAGATCTTTTTCTGCAGAGATGCTGCTCAGCCAGTCAGTCCTCAGGCTGTAGCAGTGCATGGGATTCTTCCGTCCTAAGTGCAGGATTTTGCACTTGTCCTTGTTGAACCTCACGAATTTTCTTTTGACCCAATCCTCCAATTTGTCTAGGTCAGGGGTGGGCAATTGTTTTGAACAGAGGGCCACTTACTGAGTTTTGGCAAGCCATGGAAGGACGTGTGACAGGCAGCCAGAAGCAGATAAATATTAATTTTCTAATTGTTTTAAGGGCCCCACAGGCTGGATAGAATGGCCTGGCAGGCCGCATCTGGCCCCCGGGCCGCATTTCGCTTACCCCTGGTCTAGGTCCTTCTGAATCCTAGCCCAACCCTCCAGTGTATCTACTACACCCCTCAGCTTGGTGTCATCCGCAAACTCGCTGAGGGTGCACTCTGTGCCATCTTCCAGTTGGTTGATGAAGATATTGAAGAAAACCAGGCCCAGGACTGACCCCTGGGGCACTCCACTTGATACCAGCTCCCAGCTAGATACTGAGCCATTGTTACTATCTCCTGGGCCTGACAATACAGCCAGCTTTCTATCCACTGTACAGTCCATTCATCCAATCAATACTTCCTCATCTTGCTTGCAAGACTGCTGTGGGAGACGGTATCAAAAGCCTTGCTTCAGTCAAGGTATATCATGTCCACTGCTCTCCCCGTATCCACAGAGCCAGCCATCTCATCACAGAAGGCAATCAGGTTGGTCATGCACAACTTGCCCATCGTGAATCCATGCTGACTGTTTCTAATCATCTTCTTCTCCTACAAGTGCTTAGAGATGGATTCCTTGAGGACCTGCTCCATGATTTTTCTGGGAACTAAGGTGAAGCTGACTGGTCTGTAGTTCCCTAGATCCTCCTCCTTCCCTTTCTTAAAGATGGGCACTACATTTATCCTTTTCCAGTCATCTGGGATCTCCCCGATCACCACAAGTTTTCAAAGATAAAGGGCCAGTGGCTTTGCAATCACATCAGCCAATTCCCTCAGCTCCCTCGGCTGTACTGCATCTGGGCCCATGGACTTGTACGTGTCCAGCTTTTCTAAATAGTTCCTACCCTGTTCTTTCATCACTGAGGGCTGCTCATCTTCTCCCCAAACTGTGCTGCCTAGTGCAGTAGTCTGGGAGCTGACCTCGCCTATGAAGACCACGGTAAAAAAAAAAGGATTGAGCACTTCAGCCTTTGCCTCAGCATGTCACTAGGTTGCCTTCCCTACTCAGTAAGGGACCCACACTTTCCTGATCTTCCTCTTGTTGCTAACATACTTGTAGAAACCCTTCTTGTTACCCTTCATGTCCCTTGCTAGCTGCAACTCCAGTTGTGCATGGCCTTCCTGACTTTATCCCTGCATGCCTGAGCAATATTCTTATACAGGCAGTCATTGGACTTAGGACACAATTTGTTCCTGAAAACCGGGTCTTAGGTCGAAACATTGTAACTTGGAACCATGTTCTCATAAGAAACAATGTTGTAAATGGGGCTTGGTTCCTGAACCCAAGGCCCAATACTGTGTTTTCACAAAAAATACCCAGAATTTTGTACTCGATCAATTATAGATGAGCAATATAGCTACTTGAATGTATTTATATTGTAAATGGCAATCACACTGATTTGGAAGGACTTCTTTGAGGTGACTTTGCTGGGCTTTTTGAAGGGCTCTTGGCTGGAGTCTTCTCAGGAGTCTTGGCTGCATTTTTTCTGGAGTCTTGTCTGCTTTCTTACAGAAAGTGCCCAAGGAAGTTTGGACAGATGTTCTCCAGGGAGATCCTTGATGCAGCAAACTTGTTCGCTGGTATGGCATTGCCAGAGCCTGACAAAGGGACTTTGATCCCAAAAGCTTGCAGAAAAGGACAATTTTCTTGCCATTTTCCAGTTGATCTAATAAAAGGTATAATTTTGGAACCAAGAGTTATAGATTTTGCATTTCCCAGGCTCTGTGCATTTGTGTACAAACACCTGAGGTGACTGGCAATTGCCCTACTTTCTCAGGAAGAATGAGGCCTCCCCTGCTGCCCCCTCCTGCTTCTGCTTCCTCCAGGCCTCCCACTTCCCCACGTACCTCAGGGCTTTGTTCTCCATCCCCTAGCAAACCTAGCTTAAAGCCCTCCTCACTAGGTTAGTGAGCCTGTCCGAAAAGATGCTCTTCCCCCTTTATCAGGTAGATCCCATCTCTTCCTAGCAGGTCTTCTTCTTGGAACAACATCCCAACACCACAAGCTGGCAACACCACAAGCACAACCATGCATTGATCTGCAAGATGCGCCCACTTCTGCCAGGGCCATTCCCCTTCACCAGAAGGACTGATGAGAACATGACCTGTGCCCTCATCCCCTTTCCTCTTGCACCCAGAACCCTGTAGTCACTCTTGATCTGCTCAGGGTCACTCCTGGCAGTATCATTTATGCCCACATGGATGAGCAGCATGGGGTAATAGTCAGAGGGCTGGATAAGTCTCAGTAATCCTTCCGTGACATCTTGGATCCAGGCTCCAGGCAAGCAGCAGACCTTCCAGCAGGGGTGATGCTTAGGGGGTGCATGTGGGTGCACGTGCATCCCCTGAGCATGGTGGTGCACCCCCTACAAACAGGCACTGCTGACACTGTTGGCAGTGCCTGTGGGTGATTGCCGCTCACCACCCCACCGCCAACACCGCTGGCAGCGTT